GAGCCCGATGTGGGACTCGATCCAGGGACTCCAGGATCATGACCTGAGCCGAAGGCAGTCGCTTAACCAACTGAGCCACCCAGGCGCCCTAAATAGAGCCATTTCTGCAGTGACATTGGCATATCCTAGCATGGAGTACGTGTCCACAGTGCGTCCGTAGTGTGGCTAATTCACCAACAGGTTTTGGGGTAGAAAAGAAAATTATGTATTTTTAGGGAGGATCAGAAATCTAGCAGAATTTCCCAAACCTGCTAGGTTGCCCCATCTCCTCCCTGTCTTATACTTGGCCCTCAGGTGACATGACTGAGCTCTGAATGGAATCGGGGCTGGAGGGTTATTCTAATTCAGAACAGTGGATCCTTGAACATGGGCCCTTGAAAGAGTCCCATGGTGCCTAAGCAATGTCCACTATGGAAGGAGGAATAAATAGCTCCACCACTGGAAACAAGTGTCCAGAAAAGAGCAAGTTTCTCCTGTCCTAGAGCCAAGGAGCAACCAGGTGCCCATTGCATCTCTGGGGAAGGGGGAGGGCAGTGTTGGCCCAGAGGAGAGAGAGGGGAGGGCAGGATGGGAGGAAAATCTGAGTCTATAAGTTTGCTTTTTGCACAAACCAGACTCACAAGTTTGCTTTCTTTCAGCTGGAACTCACATCACAGCCGCCCTATTTACTGACCTACCGGCTGCATTCCTTAGAACTGGTTTTGTTCCCGTTCAAAAGGAAACCAGGCAGAGCTGGGAAAATATTTCCTCAGCCAGCTCCTCAGCACCGCTGTCTGAGGGAGACCATCTGGCCGAGGTGCCCTTCAAGTAAATGCAGCATTGTCCCCTCCCCACAGCAAGGAGGGAGTGCGGATAGGGCAGGGAAAATGGCAGGGAGATGCTGTAGTCATTCTAACTGCTCTCCCCCAGGGCCCTGAGGTCCAGGGGCGCACTCCAGCTCTCTGGGGAGTAGGGGTGAGGGTGCTGATCCCCACTGCCTCTTTGGAGCTGCCAAAACTGAAGTCACCAAACACAGAGTTACGAAGAGATGCTCAGCAGTGCTCCGATTTACAATATTTCTGCCATATAGAATCAACAGATGTCTATAACCTCAAGAGCACAGATAATAACAAAACACAGTAAAATAATTAGCGTGTGCTGAGTTTTCAGTATTTTTTATCTCTGTTAATAACTTTCAGGGTTTATTATCTTTGTTTTTTAATGTGATGTCGTCACATTAAACTTATGTAACTTAATTCCAAATGATGTATGCCTTTCACAACCAGCTCACAAGGTTCTGGAAAATTGGATAGTTCATTCTTGTGAGCCAGTGTGGGCTGGCTCCAGAGCATGCTGCAGGAGTTCCTTTTTTACTTAGAGTCCGAGGATAAATGCATTGGTGTGAGGACTGCTCCCATTAGAAGCCATGGCCACGTCACCAAGGGAGGTTAAGAATGGGCTCCATTTCCTTAAGGAGATTCTGTCTTCAGAAGGTGGAATAGACACCAGCTTGCAAGAGAAAAGAGGTTGGAAAACACTTTTTTGGCGGGGGGAGTCTACCTATCACGTGTACTTGGCCAGATCAGCTCAACACACAGGTCAGGAGTTTCCACCTTCTACAGCCAGCTCCAAATCCTATGTACTTCAGCTGACCCAGTCAAGATTATGTGACAGCTTCTGGTTTTATTCCCTTGAGACCCTTGTGCTCTAAGGATAGTTCTCTGGCTGGAGTTCCCTGACATTATCTGGGTCTTGGCCCTTTGCCATTTTAGCTGGAGGGTCTATGGCTATTGTGTCTCCCCATTATTTCCTGGACCCCACCTAAAGGAGTTGGGATACCACTTGTCTCCCAATGCTCTCCTGTGGGAAACATTTGTACATGAGAGGGAGAACATTTTACCCAGCTGGGGTTGAGGGGAGCCTATGCATCTACCCAGCTCTGACTTTCTGAAAAATGACTGAGCTTTATCCAGAAATGGCAGTGTGCAGAAAAACAGAGTATAGGGACTGAAACTTGAGGGAAAAATCCTTTTAGTGGCATTTCAGGACCCAGAACTGAGCTAGATTCACAGCTCCTGCATTTTGTTGAAGGATAAACAGAGCACACCAGGGATAGGAGCATCAGACAACAGACAGGGGGAAGCCTCTGAAGGGTGTAAAGGGTAGAGGGGTGGGCGTGAGCGGTGTTAACAGATTTGTGTCTTCCATTTTAGGGTTGTCTGTGATGGCCGCTTATAGACGCAATCAGCCCCACCGTTCTTCATGCTCATCGGGACCTTTGTGATGTTGGCCCTGTGATTTAGTGCCCCTCATCCTCCTCTTGTCTTCACCTCCCTCCTGCCCCAGGTAGGTATTATGGCCCTTTGGTGTACTCACCCCTTGTGCAAGTCCTTGTCTTCCTCCAGCATATTTGCCCAGCAAAAACCAATACCTTGGTAGACCCAGCACTCTGTTCTGTACCATTCCCAAGCAAGCAGACATGGTCAGAAGAAAGCCACCACTGCATTGCCTGGTCCTCTCCTAAATGCAAGACGACTCATCTCTAAAGGAGACTCAGGACTGCCGGGAAATCCAGCTACATTTCCGTAGTCGTTTCACCCCCCAACCCCCAGCTACAGGATGAACAGCTTTTGTTCTATTGAGACAGGTCCCTCCCCTGAAGCATTGGGTTGATCCCTTCTCTTCCTGTCCACTCAAGACCTTCACGACTGTGGTCAGCCCCTCTTTCCCCTGACACATCAATTCTTCCCTGTCTAGTGGATCAAAACTCTAAATTTTGTATAATATTAGAGCTTCTCTCTCTCAGTCCTTATCTGCTTCAGGCCAGAAGCTGCAGGGGCAAGAGGAACGGTGATCAGCTTGTCCTCTGTTTCCCCACCTTGTTCATCTCCTCGTCTTCCCTTCCCTCACTAGGCTGCCCCTTGCCCCCCCCACCCCCCAGGCTGTTGCTCAGAGAGGAGAAAGATGGAAGAGATGGAAAGGTCTTACTTGATTGTTGTAGCATAGTGCTGGTATTTTCTGGCCTTGGTGGATATTTAAAGCTGCCATTCTTCTCTTGTATCTTACATGTGTTTCTTCGTGATGCTCCTGTTGGGTTCCTCTGATGGTAGCTTCCTGATACAGACCATGCCTTTCCTCCAGCTGCCATTCACCCTTCCTTCCTTAGCTCATGGGTATCCTGGGGTCCACACCACACAGATTCTTGGTGGGGCCCTGAAGTTCCTCTGAGCAGTCTTCTTGGGCAGGGTCCCTTCATAGAGAGGCCCAAGCCACCATCCTTATTCCAGGATCCTATCAAGATATTGGTCCTACCATCATGAGAGAACAGAAACTTCCCAACGTGGCTCTCTCTGCTCCACTATGCCAAGGCACTAGCTGCCCACAGTCTCTTGCCTTTAATACCTTTATAGGCATGGGTCCTGTACCAGTCTATCATCCTGTTATATTCTCCATATGGTCCCTTAATGTCCTCATCACTTGGTTTGAGGGGCAAGCTTCTCTTCCCCTCCTCTGCAACACTCCTACAGCTTTCTCCAAAAACTCAAATCCTCTTTTTTTTTTCTCTCTCTCTCTGTCTCTGACTCCTCCTCCCCCAACTTCAGTCTCAACCCTTCAATACCCTCAAGGTGATTGATGTGCTTAGGGTTGCAAAATGGGTTTTTATATATCTCCTTTGCAAGTCCTGCATAGCGGATTAGCACTTCACTCTGGGATGTGAGGTCACTTTGCACCTATTGTTTTGTGCTAAGCTTTTGGGCTCCCAGTCAAAACTGAGGGAGAAAGAGTTGCGTTTTAGCATCTTGTTACCCATATCCATCTCTAAATCTCCATGGAGTAGCATGGAAAGGTGTGGTTGAGCAAAAAAAGATGACACAAGTTGAGTAGCGTAATTGTAGAGTCACTGAGTCTGTTTGGGCTGCTGAAACAGAATCCCATAGACTGGGTGCCTTGGGAACAAGACATTGATTTCTCATGACTTTGTAGGGTGGGAAGTCTAAGATCATGGCGCTGGCAGATCTGGCATCTGATGAAAGCCCGCTTCCTGGCTCATAGATGGCTGTCGTCCTGCTGTGCCCTCACATGACAGAAGTAGGAGGGAGCTCTCTCGAGTCTCTTTTATAAAGGCACTGATCCCATTTGTGAGGGCTCTGCTCTCATGACCTAATCACTTCCCAGAGGCCCCACCTCCTAATTCCACCCCATTGGAGGTTAGGATTTCAACCTAGGAATGGCGGGTGGGGCACACATTCAGTCTATAGTAGTCATTTTCATGGCGGAGCACCAGCGCAAAGGGCTATGAACACCCTCCAATTTTTCGTTTCTCCCAAGACCTGGCCATTCATCTCTTCCTGGGCTCTTGTGTACCTGTGACTCCACTGAGGTAATGTGAATGACCCTCTTTCCCCTGTCTCCAGAAATATGCAGGAGCAGGGTAGAAAACTTCCAGGGGATGGTGAAACCAGAGCAGCCTGGTCTCCCCAGTCTCTCCTCGCAGGAGGCATGCCTCAGATGCATGTTCACTTTCTGAGTTGAAGGAGATATAAAGCTCTTTCTTTAGTTTTTCCTTTGGGCTCTAGTTTCTCCCCACAGTCCCGAAAAATGTGGTTTATTCCTTGGATCCTTTTCTACTTTTGATATTTTCTTCTTTTTCTCCTTCTTTTTGGTGGAATTGCCCCTGATTCTACTCCATGTTCTTTAGCAATTTTTGTCGTTTTTTATTCTCCTTCTTGGTGGGGAAGTATTCTGATGTATATAAACTGCTTGCTCATGTCTAGCTTTTTTGTTCTTGTTTGTTCACTAAGTCTCTATTTTTATATACCTTTCCCCTCTGGTTTTTTTTTCCTTTGAAGATCTTAGCTTTTATTTTCCATTAATTATTCATATTGATTACATTATATACATAATTTTACTTTGTTTCCTTGTAAAATATTTAATTATTTTTATTTTAAAAGATTCTTAAATACCTACTTTTAAAAATAATTATTCTTAAGGGTTTTTGTTTTTCTATTTTGTTTTGCCATTTATCCCAAGAATCTCCTTAACAGCAAGAGTATCTCGTTCGGAATCATGTGTTGCATTTAGCTGCTGTGTCTCTTTAATCTCTTCCCTCTGGACTGGTTTCTCAGTTTTTCCTTGACTTTCATGACCTTGACACTTCTGAGGATTATAGGCCAGTTATTTTGTAGATGTCTCTCATTGTGGGTTTATTTGATTCCTCCTGATCTGATTTGGGTTACGAGTCTTTGGCAGAAATATTACAAGAGTGGTCTACGTCTCATTGCACCCTATCAAGTGAAGCTCAATTTCCATTTGTCCCATTGTGAGGGGGCTTCTCCAATCACTTCAGTTGAGGTCGGCTAGGATTCTCCGCTATGGCGTTTTTCTTTTCCTTTTGTAACTAACAAGTATTTTATGTAACTAAGAAATACTTTGAAACTATTTAGATATACCATTCCTCATCAGACATTCAATTTATTCATTTCTTTATATTAGTTTAGACCAGGAGTCAATGAACTCTGTGTTTAAAGGCACCAGATAATAAATATTTCAGACTTTGCAGGAACAAGAGGCAAAAGTGAGGGTATTATGTAGGTACCTTTTTAAAAAAATTAATCAATTAACTATTTCTGAGAGAGAGAGCATGGGCAGGGGGAGGGGCAGAGGGAGAGAAAGACAATCTCAAGCAGGGTCCATGCTCAGTGCAGAGCCTGACATGGGGCTCGATCTCAGGACCCAGAGATCATGACCTGAGCTGAAATCAAGAGTCGGACACTTAACTGACAGAGCCACCCAGGCACCCCTTATGTGGGTTCTGTTATAAGAAGAGGGGAAAATAATTTCCACAGATTTTCGCTGATGAAATTAAAAATGTAATTATTGAGTATATATATATATATTTTGTAATGAAAGTCTCCTAATGAGAATAGACTTCTGTATTTGGTTGGGGGGAGATTAGACTTAACTGGGGCTCAAACTTAGCATTCCCTATTATCACACTGATTACAGGGGTTCCCCTGTAAAAACCACTCTTGTGGGCCATACAAAAACAGACAGCGGACGGGATTTGGTCCACAGGACATAGCTTGCTGACTCATGGATTTGCCTTTTACTCAACGGGTTATATAATCTGTTGCTAACATGTATCTGGATGTTCAGATTATCTCTGACTCGACTGTACACGCCCCTTCAAGCTGGCTTCTGTGCCCCTTCGCCTCCATCATTCTTTGAGCCCTTCCTTGCCTTTGGCACAAGATGTTTCAGGCTCATCTCGTACTTTCTCAGCTCCAAACTTGAGAGCAGGAATTTCTTCCAAGAGCTGTAGTGTCTTTAAGTGGTGAGTGATCATCAGAAGCTGGGATCTGGGAGCCACATGTGCTTGGAGCTACTGGGGTTTTGTTCTTCCCAGGCCCTCTCAGTGGGGCTTACTCAGTGGACAGAGCTAGAACATGTGCATGTGTTTATGATGCCCTTGATTCGAATCTAATACTGCAGGTCAGTTTCCACTTTTCTCCCTTCCCATATTTGCAACTCCTTTTTCCAAGGGAGAGAACCCTGGCCCTCACTATAATTAAAAGATTATCTCATTCGGTCAATTACCCCTGTAGCCAATTTCCCATCCCTGTTGCCAATCCTGCCCCTTGCTGACACCCTCTTCATCCTGCTCGGGCTCTGATGTCCTTCTTTGGGCCACCCTTGTGTGTGGACATCTGGTCACCATGCATGGACTCTGAGTCTCCATGCAAGCTGCTCTTTTATGTGGAAACTCTACTTGCCCTGTTTGGCCTGACACCTCATAAAAGACGCCACCCTCCTACTCATGAATGCATTCTTCATGCCCCCTCCCCTGGACTCCAATGCCTCTTTTGGGCTGTCCCTGCATGAATACCCTGCTTACCTTGTTTGGGTGCTGACTCCCCACACCAGTGTTCCTCCCACCCACGTGGACACCTTCCCGCTCTGCTCGGACTCCAACACCCATGCCAGTCCTCCCCTGCTACGTGGATGCCCTCCTTACCCTGTTTGGGCTCAGACACCCAGTGCTGGGCCTTCAGCTAGCACAGATGAATGCCTTCCTCACTCGGTTCAGGCTCTAACACCCCATGCTAGGGCACCCCTCTCCATGGACGCCTACCTTGCTCTACTTTACCTAACAGCTTCAGGACTGAATTGTGCAGGAAGGGGAAGGAGTAAGGTTGCTTTCAAAACTCTTTAGAAAGTTACTCAGATTTTTTTTTAAGATACAGTAAAAGCTAATGCTCATGGTGCTTACTAAGTGCTAGGCATTGTTCTAAACCTTGTGCACAGAACCCAGGTAATCCTCAGAGTTTCTATAGGAGGTTGTATAATTATAATCTCTAGTTCACGGATAAGGAAATTGAGGCACAGAAAGGTTTCGTAACTTGTCTGAGGTCACACAGCTCATAAGTGATGGAACCAGGACTTGGGCAGATCAGTTTCTAGAGTCCATGCCGTTAACCACGTGCTGGGAACCGTATGCATACTGCAGACAAAACTCAGCAGATACAGCTAAGCTTCACAGGGAGGAAAATCATTGCTAAAATAAATATTTTGTCTTTTTATGCAACTGTGCAAGTTTCTTTAGAATATGTATGTACATAGCAGTGGACTAAGCTATGAGCTATGTGCACCTTCAACTCTGCCAAATTATTTTTCCAAAATGGTTTTACCAGTTTACATTCCAACTAAGAGAATACAAGTTCATATTTTTTCATTTCCTTGGCAGTGTCCAGTGTTGTCAGACTTTAAAATTTTTCCAGTCTGAGGGGTGTGAGTATCCTTATTAATTTTCTAATTGGCATTCCTTGATTACTAGTGAAGTTGAGAATATTTTCACAAGCATATAGAATTTGGGGTTTTCTCTTTGGTGAATTATCTGTTCATATTATTTGTCTATTGGGTTTATAATTTTCTTACTGATCCTAGGGCATTTAAAAAATATATAATATGGGTACAAATCTTTTGTTCGGTTATATATGTTGTAAATAATTTCTCCTATTGTATGGCCTGTGTTTCATTTAATAGGTGGTATTTTTGTTATACAGAAGATTATAATTTTCAGGCACTCAAATTAATTACTCCTTTATGGTTTACATTTTCCATTGTTTCTAAAATCTTCTCTACACAAAAGGCATAAAGATATATATCTATATTTTCTTTTCAAAGTTTTACAGTTTTGCTCTTGAAACATCTAGGTATCTACTCCACCTGAAATTTATTTTTGTGACCATTTATGAAGTGAATATCTAATTTTATTTTTTTCCATATGGAAACCCAGTTGTCTCTGCATCATCTATTTAGAAGTCCATCTTGTCCCTGTTGATTTAGAATGTTCTCTCTGTTGTTTGTCAAGCTCCCACATGTGTGGGTCTGTTTCTGTGTTCTCTAATCTGTTCCACTGGACTATCTCTCCTGATAACTGTCTTAATTATGGTAATTTTTTTTTTAAACAAATCCTCATATCTGTTAGGGCAAGACTCTCCTCCTTCTGTTACGGCTGAACTTGGCTCTTTGCCTTTCCATATTAATTTTATAATTGGCTTGTCAAGTTTTTTGTTTGTTAGCTTTTTGCAACTTCATTGAGGTGTAGTTAATGTACAAACACTACACAGCTTTAACATGTACAGTTTGGTGAGTTTAAAAATATGTATATACCCATAAAGTCCTCGGCACAATCCAGCAATTTTCTTGTAGCAGACAGACTCTGAGATGGCCCTTGATTGTCCCTGCCCCCTGCTAGCCATGCCCTCACGTACCCCTGCTATGGTCTGAATGTTTGTGTCCCCCACCAAATTCACATGTTGAAATCCTGATGTCCAAAGCAGTGATGTTAGGAGGTGGGGCCTTGAAGGTGTGATTAGGTGATGAGGACTTCACCATTCCACTGAAAAAGTTCTTGTCAGGGGCCCCAGTGTCTTCCACGCTGTCGGACCCCACAGCCATTCCTCATCTTATGTAGCTCCTCAGATAGACATAACTGATCATGCCCTCCTTCTGGAAACCTTCCTTTCCTTTGGCCTCTGGGAAGTCATTCTCATCACTTTCTTCCTACCTTTCTGGAAGTTCCTTCTCCATTACTTTTCCTAGTTCCTCCTCCTCTTTCTGACCTCTTTTCTATCTGTACTTACTCCCTTAGATGATATACCAAGTCCATGGCTCTAAATATCATTTCTATGTTGATAACTTCCAAATCGACCTCCCCATCTCCAACCCCTGTCCTGCATCCGACTCCTCTTTTCAACTACCTACTTATCATACATCTCCACTGGCTAGTCAATGGGTATTATAAACTTAAGTCTCAAACTAAACTTGGTCTTCCTTCTCAAATCTGGGTTCCCTGTAGTGTTCTCCTTCTCCATAAATGTCATCGCCACCCTGCTTGCCAATCATTCAGGTCAAAAATTTTGGCGTTTGTCTTTCCTTCTGTTACATTTCACATGCAGCCCAACAGCAAATCCTGTCAGCTGTACCTTCAATTCTAACCATTTATCATAGTCTCTACCAGTACACTCCTATCTGAGCCACCACTGAATTCTCCAACAGCTTCTTAGCTCACACAGAATGGACTCAAAATCTTTGCCATGGCTCATGAGGCCATCCACCATCAGTCACTCCTGCTGATTCTTTGGCCTCATCTCCTACGCCCCTACCCCCTCTTTGATCCTACCACCCTGGCCCCTTTGCACACTCCCTCTTCATTCATTTGCACCGGCTGTTTCTTCTTTCTGGAGCACCCTTCCCCCAGCTAGCCCCATGATTTCCCCCCTCTCTTCATTCGAGTCACCTTATAAATGTCAACTTATAAAAGAGATTCTATCGCCTTTCTTGTTCTATTCATTGTTCTGTTTAAACACTTATAACCACTTACCATGTTATTGATTCATTACTTCAACCACATCCACCTTCCACCCCCACCAGAATGTGGCAGCATGACTGAGAACTACCACCATGGGTTATATAATAACATTATTTTTTAAAGAAAAAAAGGTAGCAGAAGAGAGTGATCCATAGAATCCAATGCATTAGAGATGTCCAAACTAGTAAGTACTGAAAAAGGTTTATTGGAGCGGGCAATTGAGAGGCCCAGCAACCTGGAGAGCAGCTTTTCAGGTTGTGGGTGGAGATGCCAGATTGCAGTGGGTTGAGTATATCCTCTCCTTCACAGTCTCCTGGTTCTTCCCTCAAAAAACTCTTTGTCACCCTTCCCACCTTTCAGTCTTTATAATCACACAGTCATACCTATATGCTGACCATTCCCCATGGGGCATTGTCAGGCCTTGCTCTCCAGCAGGGCACAGTCTGATGGAGGAGGACTCAGCTCAAGGAGCTCCCAGTCAGATGGGGGGGGGGAGGGGGCAGAGTGTAGAAATAATGATTATTTAAAAACAACAAAATAAAAAAACAAAGCAGGAATGCACCTACTGGCAAAGAAATGCATGCTAAAGCCATGCCAGGGAGAAGGGGCCTTTCAGGGAAGGAAGGAGGCAGGGACATTGTCTCTGGCTCGGGAGCACTGGGACCGAATGGGATGTGACATCCATAATTCATAGCCGATCAATCCTGCAGGGCCTGGAGCTCTGACCCCTTCGGAAACCCCTCTCTTCTCTGACAGCTGAGCCCGTCTCCTTGGAGGCCTAGGGCAGGAAAATTTCTCTCCGAGACGTACGCGGGAGCCCTGCAGCCAGGATGATGGATGAGCGGGCAAGGGCTGTTCGAGGCAGCCTGAGCAGAGAGAGAAATACGGCAGCAAACATGGCTCTGTGTGTAGAGTGCTAAAGGCCAAAGGACAGAACCCTGTGGAACACCAAGCACGTAAGAGATGGCTTAACAAGGAGGATGCATGAAGAAATCAGTGAAGGGTTGTCAGCGAAAGATGGAGAAACAAGAAGCCAAGAGAGAAGATAGCTTCACCGTAAGAGGGGTCACCAGAGTGATGGCTGAATGCTGCAGAGAAGTCCCTGCTATAATACCTGGGGACACCTCCTTTGGATTTGGTCATTAGGGGGTCCCTGGGGAAGTTGGGGAGAGCAGTATCAGTGGAGAGGAGGAGGCAGAAACCAGGTTTCAATGGTCTGGGCAGCAAAAGGAAAAGTAAGGAAGGGGCTCCGAGGTCGGTGGGATTGCCAGATTTAGTAGATGAAAATACAGAATGCCCTGTTCAACCAGAATTCCTTAGAAATTTTAGATAAACAATATTTATTTATTTATTTTCAGCTTTATTTATTTATTTATTTTTGAGACATCGTGCAAGAGCAGGAGGGGGTAGGGGCAGAGGGAGATGGGGAATCTGAAGCAGGCTCCATGCTCAGCCCGAAGCCCAACTTGGGGCTCGATCCCACGACCCTGAGACCATGACCTGAGCAGAAATCAAGAGTCAGATGCTTAACCGACTGAGCCAGCCAGGTGCCCCTTGATCAACAGTTTTTAAATAAGTTTGTCCCATGTATTCATTGTTTGTCTGCAATTCAAATTTAACTCAGTGTCCTGTATTTTATGTGGCCAGCCTAACAGAATGGCGTGTGGACTTCTTGCTCAAGCAGCATGGCCGGGAAGAAAAGATGAGTGCTCAGGGCCATCGCTGGAAGGGCACCCAGGTCGGTGGAAAGTTGTGTCTAGGAGGGGATCATCCGAGCATGTAGAGCAGACGGCAAAGCCGCCTGTTCCCTGTGTGTAGGCTGAAGGGAAAAGCCTACAGTGACAGAGGCTAAGACACGGTGGGGGAGTAATTGGTGATTTAAACTCTGGGCCTCTAGCCAGACCAGAAATCATTTCCTGGGACCCGCCCATAAAAAGCAGACAGTCTCTCCCTGACCCTCCTTCCTGCAAAAAGCTCAGAAAATACAAATAGCCAATTTTAATTTGCAAGTTGATTGCTGGTACTTTGACACTGTGGGATTGTGGATTTAATAAGAGCTCTCGCCAGTAAATTTTTTTTCTTTTGTTCTTTTTCTTGGTGTTCTAATGGACCACCATAGCTGCAAACATTTTTCTAAATGGAGCAATCCACTTTGCCAACGTCAATATTTCTTAAAACCCCATCGCCAGAGAGAACCACTTTTAATAGCTAGATTGCTTGACCAGTTCAGGCCCTCAGCCTGGGTCTTTCAAAGCAAATGAATCAGATGAGTCTTGTGATCAAGCCCCTCTTTCCTTTTTCTGTATTTTAGTCTCCCTGTGAGTGGTGAAGCCAACAAAGCTCATTTGATGATGAAAGAATGCTCTCTTTGGGGTCACCACGTGACATAGTCAACGACTGTTTCTCTCCCTCATTACATCCGGTTCCAACTCACGTCTGGTTTGAAAGCTGGAACACTGATGTCCAATTCCTATTCCTCTAACTCCTTAGATTTCTGCCAGACTGGTAGCCTTCATCAGTCTTCTGTTGCTGTGTTTGTGCGACAGACAGAAAGAAAAAGATCCTCTCCACTTACCACAAATACCCTACATCTGTTTCGTTTTAGTTTGTTGGTGGCAGAGTCCAGCCCACCACGTCTGGGTTAGAGGCATGGAGACCCCACAGCAGGAGAAGCTCTGTGGCTTCTGCCGGCCCTCCTAAGAAGGTCTCTGGCTGCTGTGGGCACGTTAGCAAACGTCTTCCCTCCTTCATGGGGGACTATGAAACTTTTAGTAAGAAAAAAAATGACAACATAGGGCTGACAAACTCCCTTTCTCCCGAATTGCTTGTTCTATATTAGCTTTGAAACAAGTGTTTGCTCAGTTGGTTAAGTGTCTGCCTTTGGCTCAGGTCATGATCTCAGAGTCCTGGGATCGAGCCCGGTGTCCGACTCCCTGCTCAGTGGGGGAGTTTGCCCTTGCCCTCCCCCGCCGCCCCCAGCTCATGCTCTCTCTCTCTCTCAAATGAATAAAATTTTTATTTTTTTTAAAAGATTTTATTTATTTATTTGACAGAGAGAGACACAGCGAGAGAGGGAACACAAGCAAGGGAAGTGGGAGAGGGAGAAGCAGGCGTCCCGCCAAGCAGGGAGCCCAACAAGGGGCTCGATTCCAGGACCCCGGGATCATGACCAGAGCCGAAGGCAGACGCAACAACTGAGCCACCCAGGCGTCCCAAAATGTTTATTTTTATTATTATTATTATTATTTTTATTTATTTTTTTATTATTTTTTTATTCTTATATTAATCCCCATACATTACATCATTAGTTTTAGATGAAGTGTTCCATGATTCATTGTTTGTGCCAAAATGTTTAAAAAATAAATAAAATTTTTAAAAACCTGCAAGTGTTTGTCAACTGTCTTTTTTTTTTAATTAAAGATTTTACTTATTTATTTGACAGAGAGATAGAGCCAGAGAGCACAAGCGGGGGGGTGGCAGAGGGAGAGGGAGAAGCAGGCTCCCCACTGAGCAGGGAGCCTGATGCGGGGCTCGATCCCAGGACCTGAGATCATGACCTGAGCCGAAGGCAGATACTTAACCGACTGAGCCACCCCGGCGCCCCATTTGCCAGCTTTCTTTTCCAGAAAACACCCCTAGACTGCCCCCAGTACTGCTGGTTCTGTTTCTGGCTTTGACAGAATCCATATAGGTGGAGAACAGTTAGTTTGAACAGATAGTCTCAAGATAATCCATAACTCTGCCTTTTGCTTCCTCTCCCGTAGTGCTCAGGCTAGAGTAAGGTGTTCTGTGCTACGTGGTATTCAGGATCTGGTGCAGGGAGGTTATGTTTGGGGCCTGACCTCAAAGAAAATCTTTCCACCCAAAGAGTAATTTAACACTCTTTCCGTGACGTCTATCCCAAGAGGTGGACAAGAACAGAGGAGCTGGAGCTAAAGTTGAGGCCAGGACAGAAAAGGAAACTTTCTTTATAGATCAAAATATTTGCTGGGCCTCAAGCAGGCATGTTCTGATAGACCCCTCTGGGTGACTGCCCTCCTGCTAGGCTAACCAGGGCGCCAGGGTGGCATTGGGGGGGGTGGACATGTGGCGTAAATCACCTCATCTGGAGGCCGAAGACCTTAGACTATTTAACCCAGCAAGGACTTTGAGTTCCTATAGTCCAGAAACTCCCAGACTTTTAATTTCATGGTCTGTCACAACTCGCTGGGGGTGGGGTGGGGCGGGGGATAACATAAAAAAATAGCAGGCTGTTAGTTATTGTTTTGCCAGTTGAGCAAATAAAATACTCATCTTCTGTCATTTCAGAGAAGGCCACTTTAACATAGACCATATGAAAGACTTATTCTCTCACTTTTTTTTTTTAAGATTTTATTTATTTATTTGACAGAGAGAGACACAGAGAGAGAGGGAACACAAGCAGGGGGAGTGGGAGAGGGAGAAGCAGGCTTCCCGCTGAGCAGGGAGCCCGATGCGGGGCTCGATCCCAGGACCTTGCGATCATGACCTGAGCCAAAGGCAGATGCTTAACGACTGAGCCACCCAGGCGCCCCTTATTCTCTCACTCTTAATATAAAGAATATATCCCAGTCCTGCCCCAGAAAGTCAGTGTTTAACTTGCACCAGCATTACACAGATGTTTTAAAATAACGTGTGCGCACGCATTTATCCTCCCCCTCCTCCTTAGCTTCTCCTTATCACCCAGGCAGCCATAGCGGAACGATTTGGCACATGGACTCTGGGCCACAATATCTGAGTTCATTTTTTTTTTAATTTTCTTTTTAGATTTTATTTATTTATTTGAGAGAGAGAGAGATAGTGAGAGAGAGCACAAGTGGGGAGGAGAGGGAGAAGCAGGCTCCCTGCAGAGCAAGGAGCCCGATGAGGGACTCGATCCCAGGACCCTGGGATCATGACCTGAGCCGAAGGCAGACGCTTAACAACTGAGCCACCCAGGTGCCCTGGGCCACAATATCTGAGTTCAAATCCTGGTTCTGCCCCTTGTGATCTGAAGAACCTCAGATAAGTTACTTAACTTCTCTGAGCCTTGGTTTTATTATCTATGAAGTGAAGGTCATAAGAGGAGGACATACTTTCCCTAAGTAGTTGTGAGGGTTCAATGAGTTGATATGTGAAAAACGCTTAGCACACAGGAACCAGCCAGTAAATGATAGTCATTGTGATTACGGTGCAGGGACTGATGACACCTTCATAAACTGGTCCCTGGGAGCCACCGATGGGGCAATGCTTTTCTCTTCAGGCAGGGTGGGGAGGTGGGGACTGAAGTCTGGAGCAGGCACGACATGTCCAGCTAAGGTCTGTGAGTGAGCAGGACAAGAGGAGAACCCAAGTCTTCTAGCCATGTTTGCTAGAGCTCTGAGGTTGCGAGGGAACCGTGAATGTGGCCAGTGGCTGGGGATGGGGTGGGAAGCCGTGGGCAAGTGTGCAGGTCTGGTGGGGTCAGGAGCCTGCGCTGTAACAGGCATGATGACCAGGTTGGGGGCCACCAACAACCAGGGAATCTGGCCACCAAGGCTTTCCTTTCTCTGTCCTTCAACCCGGGAGAAGATGAAAATGAGTAGGTTACAGCCTGGGGATGGGGACAGGCCTGGGAGTCCCCACGTGGGAAGGGAGTGGGGGAGTAGCAACACACTCTGCACCCCTTCCTTCTGCCTTCGGTCCAGCCACAAGATGCCCGCCGACTCCCCGTCCTGCCTCCCCCCTGCCTGGGGGCTGGGCCACCTCTGGGGGCAGAGTCTGTTGGGTGGAGGACCTGCCCTCCCCATCACCAGTTGGCAGGGTGGGTCGAGGCTGGAATAATGAATGCTCCAACCCTGACGCGTTTCTTTTGCTGCCGTGGCCTGGGGGCTGCTCCCCACTTCCTAAGCGACACCACCTGGGCAAAGGCCGCTGGATCAGGTGGGATGGCACTCTTCGGCCGCCAACAGACCCACGTTACTGTGGCTGCTTATTGATTTCACGGGAATCAGCTCCCCGAGGCAGGTTCCTCCACCCCATCTGCTCCACCGCCCTTCACACGTGACTTTCAGCCTCACCACTCCTTGCTGGTCACATGCTCCAGGCAGGACCCCAAAAGGGGGAGGGGGTGGTCTCAATGAGGAAATCCAAACTTTCCCACAAACCCTCCAGCAGCTTCTGCAGATGCCTCATAGGTCGGAGCCGTGTCACATGACCTTTCCTAGCTGCAAGGGAGGCTGGGAGATGTCATCTTGTGTCTGGGCGACAAACTGTGGTTTCATTAATAAGGAAGAAGAGAATGGATATTGGGTAGAAACTGTTGTTTGCCAGAGAGTTGTGACCAGAATAGCCTCGAGGCTTTTGCTTCCCCTCTGCTCCAAAGCCTCATTCAGCAGGTTCCCAAGTGACGGGACCACTGGCCCAGCTCCAGAAGCCTGAAGGGCAAGTTCAGGTCTTTACTGAAGCACTTGCACACATGGGTAGTGGATCACAGCACACATCGCCCAGCCAACCTTTTTAGGAGTCTCTTTGTACTTTCCTCTGCCTCCTCTCAACAGCGGCCCAGATCTCCCGCTCTCTTCTTGCACAACAAAGAAGTTGTTGGCCTCGCCCCTCTGACCTCTTGTGTGTTTCCATGTTTTCCCCCATTCCTCTGTGTGCCCTTCTTGTGGAAATCCATTTGGGCCCAGGGCTGTTCTGCATTTGGGCCTCCATCTATCTCCCCTCTAAGCACAACCAA